TATATATATATATGTATGTATAAAACACACACACATACACACTCACACTTTAAATCAAAAAGTGCATTTTCATTCTGTTTCTCAACAAGAATAATACATGTTACACTCCCAACGATGTAGCAATAACCATATAGAATAAAATGTATCCATTCACCCAGTACTGTAGACAATTGTTTCTAGCACGCTGTGGTTACCCAGCACCCAGATCTCTGCCTCTCTGCCTGTGGCATTGTCATATTTATAGTATAAGTACACATCAGTTCAGAGTCCTGGACTTAAAGGGCTAAAAAGCAAAAAAATGTTGTCCCTTTGCTGGCTGCATGTCGCAGCCCAGACATAGGAGCAGAAGACTGCGAGGCCATGGCATAGGGTGCAGCATTCCGCTCTCTCTCGCTTCTTTGGACTGAACAATCAGATTAAAGCTTAATGAATCTATTCAAATCGGGGTTTCTTTGGAGCGCAAGGCAGGTGTACAATTGGGGGGCCAAGGAAGACTCTCACGCCTAGGTGTGAGCTGATTATTCAAATGGGCTGGCGAGGACTTGGGGGATTGGAGGCTTGTCTCAAGCTGGATGCTATATCACCCACCAAGCTACTACAACGTCACCACAACAACTGTTATCATCATCATCATCATCATCTGTGCGAGTGTTAGGAGCCATTGTCAGTAGCAGGCGAGCCTCCGCTGTCCTCAAACTCCTGCCCATTCACCCAGGAGCCCCATTGCTGATCAGACAGATCTGCCCAACAGAAGCAGAAGAAGCTTGTGAGATCTCTACTTCCCCCTCCTAGTGCAGAGAGGGAGTGCTGGAGAGGGAGGGCTCCTCTCTCTCCCTCTCTCTCTCTCCTCTCTCTCTCTCTCTCTCTCTCTCTCTCTCTCCTCTCTCTCTTTTTGTTGCTATCACTGGCGTAGTTGTTGCTTGTGGCTGTTAAATTTTAAACTGCCATGCACTCTGCTTCCAGTATGCTAGGAGCTGTGAAAATGGAAGGACACGAACATTCAGACTGGAGCAGCTACTACACCGAACCAGAGGTAAGAAAAAGCACTTTCTACTTGATGTCATCTTTGCCTCATTCTGCCTCTTTATAGCACACTGTTAGCCTTGGGATAATATTAACTTTGTGATCAAATATTGACTTGTGGCGCCTCCAAATCCTCTTCGATGACTGAGCCACACACTATCCCAACAAGCTTGTGTTTGGCATGGGGTGGGGGGGGGGGGAGGGCTGTGGGAGAGACAAGGAAAAAAAAAGTTTCTTCTTGTAAATATAACAGCTAATCAAACTTCCAGGACTGGTGAATTAGGGACATTTTCATCTGATTTCAGGAAAGGAACTGTCACTCCAGCAGAAACATAGCCACTGACCAGTTCGTAACTGGCATGGCTTGGTTGCGTGCTTGGGCTATGGCAAGTGAAAGGTGTCTCAGTCCACTACCAGTTTATTGCTGTGATATCAACACCAATTGTAGTAGTGGGTCACAAAAACAGTGACGCATTAGAAACAAAAGAAGTATGTCAATATTTATACGAATCTATTTCCCAGTGCTTATAAATTGACAATTGTTTGCCAGTTAGATATTAGGTAGGAGGGGTTGGACTCCAAAAAGCTAATGTTAAACTTTAGGCTTGGTGCTATGGGGCAATCTGAATTAAAGAGAGGGGATACCAGGGCAAAGAAAGTTGTTTACATACATATTATTCAAATTATAAACAACATTTATAAATAAATGTTTCTAATTATTTATATATATATACGGTATATTTTA